CCCCAAAACCCCAAAACCCCAAAACCCCAAAACCCCAATTACTAAATTTAATATTGTTTTGTAAAATTAGCCAAAAATATTCTTAATCCTGAGCACAATGTCTGAGACATCCCATTTTAGCTCTGATAAGTTATGATCCCTTATTTGGATCATTGATACTATTGTATTTCTGCATTAGCTTATTGTTCAAAATGCCATTATTGATCAAAGCATCTTTTCTCTTATCAGTTTCCTTCTGTAACTTTTCAAATGCTTCCATCCACTCAAGATAGTCTTGCTCAGATTGAGCAGCAAAGGTTATTTCCCACTTGAATGCCTTTATTTGGAATACAAAATTCCTTTTATAAGTCTTCTTGTCTACTGCTAATATAGTAGCATCAATGATTGGGAAGAGATTCTTTGGCTTTTTATCTGCATCGTCATAGTAAAGAAGTCCAACATTAGTAACTACACAGAATTTTTCAGACCATTCCTTGAACCATCCTTTTGCTCTTTTACTGAGGTACCCATACTTCTGTGAGTTAATGAAGTTAATTCCGGATAATTTGTTCAGGAGAGTTACATTAGTCTTACTCACATCGTGCTTGACAGAAGGATCAAACTTGAGCAACTTCTTCTCCTCTGGTTTATTGCTCCTTTGACTTTTTGTCTTGAGCCCATCTGCATAGTTTACTCTAGGGAACTTGAGATTCCTGATCTCGAACATATGCATGAGGAACATTACCAGCTCTGTTCTTCTGACAATCTCAATGAGATGGTCAAATGTGCCTGGGCAATGGATCGCAATAACATTTGCGGACTTCTTGATGAGAGTCAGTGCCTTGATACTCTCTATTGGGACTCTGTAAACCACTGAGAAGTTCTTGCTGAGTTGATAGAAAGCATTAGGTGTTATCATTATCTTTCTCTTGCTCTTCTTCATATTCGTATCTATTTTATAAATGTATTCAGTGAAACACTCTAGTTGCTCTTTCTTCTTTCCTTTTGGGAATTCGTCATATCTTTCAAGAATTCTCTTAACTCTCTTGTAGTTCTTATTATCCTTAGATCTGAGAGCAAGGAAGTCGAAGTTTTTGATTCGAGAGATCCTGTTGATGATTGACTTATCTCTCAAATTACTTTGTCCTCTTCCTCCAATCTGACTCTTCCTAATCTGCTGCTCAAGAATGGTTTTGATCCTTTGAGTAGTTTCTTGGTTAACCTTTTGGTTTTTATCTTCTTTCTTTTCTTCTTTCTTGTCTTCTTTCTTGTCTTCTTCTTTGACTGATTGCTTAGGTCTAGTTTTGAAAGTCCCATCCTCGTCATCTTCTTCTGTTATAACTCTAAGATTGGGTTCTCTCGAGTCTTGATGCTCTAATCCACCAAAGAGTTCATTTGCTCCATCATCATCCAAATGTTCCTCTTCTCCTTCTGAAGAGTCATAATTAGCAGAGTTTTCTTCATCTTCATCAATTGCTGCTACTGGAGCAACCTCTCTCTTTTCAATCTTTGGAACAACATTGTCTTTAAGCTCGATATCTGTCTGAACATCAATGGTGTTTGTCTCAACTATTTTATTTTTACCTTTATCAATTAGTAAAACTTCGCCTTCTTTATTTTGCATTTTGAGCATCACTCTTCCTGTATCGCCAGAGGTGAGAGATTCAGTAGTATCCTGAACATATGACATTGGTGGATCTATCCTTTCAGCAGTCTTCGATTCAAGTGTTTCATTTGTGACTTCGGTCTTACCTTCAATTGAAATTGGCTCATCTATAACAGGATCTGAGTAGATAATCATTGCTTTAGTGTTATCAATTTGGACTTCTTCAGTTTTACAAATAGTCTGAGTTGAGCTGGTTACAAGATTTGGTTTAACAATCTTAGCAACTGTAGCTCTAATAGCTTCAACTGTATTTGTAGTATTCCCGATTTCATTAAATAATTCTTCATCAACTTGGTCTTCATCATCTTCAGAATTTTCTAATTCTTCTTTATTTTCTTCTTTTTCTTCCTTTTCTTCTTTCTCTTTTTCTTTAATTTCTTTCATAACTCTGGTCTTATTAATCTCCTGTTGTTCTTTGAGCTCTCTAACTTGTTCAGCCACGGGATCATAGAACTCGTCCTCTACAATAGATTCAAGGGCTACTTTCTTAAAATCTCTAGCTTGGAGACCTCCACCAATATTAATATGGGATGTTCTTTCTTTATTCAGAAGAGTGAACCTATCATTATCAAATTCACTAGCTCTGTAAATTCCATCATTATTTGCAACTTTGTCCTCATGTTCACTTCCGTCTCTTTGCTCTAAATCTCCGAAGTCAGGTTCACCGAAATCTTCTAGTCCCCCAAGCTCATCAGCTAGGTTTCCTTCTTCACTGTTTTCTTCATCAGCTTCTTCTACTATATTTTCAACTTTGGTGCCTGTCTTTTTACCAAAGAAATTAGTCTGTAATCTCTGCTTCTGAGTAGCTCTAGCTGTCTCTTGAGCCTTAACTATAGTGCTAAGTCTTCCCCTGTATTGGTCTACAGACTTCCTCTGAGACATTATTTCTACATAAGTTTGTCTAAAGTGAGGGTTTGTTTCAACGTTCTTCTTAATAAGCTCTTGGTTTTCATACTTTAGCCTCCAATTGGCATTACCATTTTCAAGGTCTTGAACCTTCATCTTTAAGATCTTATTTTCCTTGACTATTGACTCGATTTCCTTGGCATTTGTAACGTTGAATTCCTTCCTCCATTGGTTCTCCTTAAGGAGAGTTTCGTTCTCAATCATAATCAGGGCCATCTGATTTTCAAGATCTTTCTTTATCTTGTCAGTCTGCTCGAGGATTCTTATCTTTTTGGAGTACTCTTTTTCGAACTTTATCAGTGCTTCTTGCTCACTCTTTTCTAAGCCCCTGTTTTGCTCAGTAAGATCTTCGACAAGTTCCATCAATTTGTTACTTTGATGGAACTCCTCTTCTGATTTGTCCTTGTTTTCAGCTTCTTTGGCATTTCTGGGCTTTAATGAGATTCTTGAAGTCATTCTTGAGTCATCTTGGAAATCCTTGTTCTCAGGTAAGTCCTGAGCAACATATGACTTATAAGAACTAAGCTCATATTCTAAATTCTGGATTCTTTCAAGAAGACCATCCTGTGATAAGCCTGGAGCTACATTTTCTTGTGCGCTATAACCTATTATTACAAATATTACCTTCTAAATTCTCTCTCGAGGTCGTAGTGCTTTCTTTTCTGATCATCAACTTCATCTTCTAGCCTTAGGATTTCCATGTCTTTCTCTTCACATTGTTGGACCATTCTCTGGAAATCATTTTCGAATCTCATAAGATCTTCTATGTCTCCTTCCATTTTGTAGTTCTTCTCTTTCAGGTCTTCGTTCTGAGCTTGCAATTTGGTGTTTTTATTCTTAAAATATTCCTTCTCGTTTTTGAGGACATCAAGTTGGTTCTTATACTTGGTATTCTTCTTCTCAATTCTCTCCACCTTTTCACATACTTTGTCTGCTTTTGATTTAAGTTTGAGGATGATCATTCCCATTTGTTTGGTGTTCATTGATTCGAAATCATCCATATCTATTACGCAATCGATTATTTCTTGTAAGGCGGTCTCTGGGTCTGGTTCATTTTCATCGTCAGAGCCTTCACCATCTCCAATAATATCGTCAACATAATCACTTGACTTCTCTTCCTTTTGCTCTTCCTGTTGATTTTGCATTTGAACATCTATTTCTTTCTGGGTATCTTCAGCTCTATTTCCGAAGACTGAAGCTTTCTCAAGTATTTTTTGCTCATAAAAGTTGAAGATATCATAGAATTGATCCTCTTTGACACTTTGATCATACTCAAAGTCTTTAAAGAAGGTATCGAACTCTGATAGAGTTATCACAAATCCCTTGAAATTATCTAAAATATCCTGCTTCATATCAGAAATTTTAGCCCGATTATTCTTTTTGTAGTAGTTAAAAAGACTTTTGAACTCTGACAACTTCTCTAGAGTGAGTAAACTTTGCTCAGCATAACTAAGATCATCAGTTCCGGTATTAGTTTCTTGCTCTGGCTCTCCAATCAATGGCTGTAAGACTCAATACTCAAAATCTTCATAAGTTACATATCCATCACCATCTTGATCTACAGATTGGAAGTACTCTTGTAGCTGGTATTCATCTTCAGGGATAACGCCTATTGACTCTAGTACTTTCTTATATCTCTTCATGGAGACTCGTCCATTATATTTCTTGAAGACCTTGCTGGAGGCCTTTAGAAGATCCTTAACATCAATTTCATCAGATGCCATAGTATTTTATTGATAAATTAATTATCTAATTTATTCTTCCACTCTTCTCTCAAATGCTGGGGTTTTGGGGTTTTGGGGTTTTGGGGTTTTGGGGTTTTGGGG